AGTTGTTTGATATGACATTTCTCGAGCTATATGAAGCTTTATCCAGCTCTGTTATGAGAATATATTTTTGTATTTGGCTTGTTAGCCTTTCAATACCTCTCAGACCATATGCCTTTTTGGGTCGGTTCTCTTGTGACGGCATCTTATCTTCGGACATTTCTGGTCACCTAGCCAATTAGGTTGAGTACCTCCAGAATCATATGACTTTATAATCAGTTCAGTAGCGAGATTATCTTAATCGGCTAGCCAGCTGTGACCTTGTTCAGGATCTTTTGTGCTTTCTAGCCACCTGACTATGGTGATGAGTGCTTCTTTGCAATGGGAGCTAGTCCGACTAACAATCGGGTTCCTATTGAGAGAGCATAGTAGGAGACTTGCGGTCACACAAGATGATCGAGCCTCTTCCCACTTCTATTATTACGACTGAGATCAGGTGAAGTCGAGTTTCCTCCTCTATCCATTTGAATGTGCTCAGATAGACGGTAGTTTCTTCTTATGACTAGAGGCGGCCTCTCAGCTAAAAAGCCTATATGTGAGAAATGAAAGGCCCAGGTCACATGAGATGATTGGGTCTTTTTCCATTGTTAATAATATTGAGTCATTGGAACAATTACCACTTCGGTCATGATGTCTTGATTATTATGATCATCCGGACCGTCGTTATGGGTGCCACACTTTGTGAGAACCTTATAGTCAGTTCTTCGCGTGAGAGCACAACAGATGACCTGGTCACACAAGATGATTGGGCCTTCTCAATTTTATTATACTATTGAGTCAATGGTAAGTTGCCACTTGAACAAAGACTTCTTATACTTTATAGCTATCTAATTAAAGTGATGGGTGCTTCTTTTCAAAGGAATTAGTTACACTCACAACCGGGGTCTCTTTTAGAGGAAACATAATATGAGACATAGTAACACGAGATGTTTAGGCCTTCTATCTTACGATTATGAATTGAGGTTGGGGTTTCCATCAATTATGTTATTTTTAAAGATAGGTCAGACATATTGATTTACCATAACAAATGAAGCCAGGTAGGATTTTTCACAACCATACTCTGTCTAGTTTATCTGGCCTGGTTAAGATTATATGTGGTTAGCTAGTTTTGGCAGGTTAGCCACTCCCTCAACCATACCCAGTCCAATTTATCTAGCTTGGTCGAGTTTCTTGGTGAGCAGTTAGCTTCAGCTATTAGCCACCTCCCTCAGATGTGTTCAATAAATCTAGACTAGTTGGTTTTTTTTATGGTTAGCCTATTTTGGCAGGTTAACCATTCCCTCAACCATACCTTGTCTAGTGTATCTAGCCTAGTCTAGTCATTTTACTATCCTCCTGGGATGTTACATCACCTACCAGGAAAGATTTTACTTTAGGAAGCTGTCAACAAGTGCATTGTGCCTCACCGACGAAACCCACTTGTTAGGGGTCCTTTGTTGGCATCAATTTTTGATGTCAAAAGTGTGCGATGTCTACCTGAGCGCACCGGGACCATGTTTTATGCATATGTTGTTTCTTGTAAATCGAGACATCCATTTGTGACCCTCTGACGCGTATTGAGGGGAACATAACCAGGGCCATTCTGCTAGACTTTGGCATTCGCTTAGGCGGAGGCTAGTCATCATTTTGCACGTCAGACGACTCCAGTCGGTTCGACAGATATTATTCGCTGCATCACACATAAAACTATTTTGAATTATCTCGTCCAGTGGCAAATTTGTCCGGACGACTCTGGATGACAAAAAAAACCTCATGAGTACGTCCAAAATGTTGATTTTACCCGGGAAGGAAACCCATTTTGCCCTGATTTCTTGCAAGGACCAGCAACGCGCAGATCAAAGGTTTTAAATAATAAATATTAAAAAAATAAAGGATAATAAAAAAAACCTAACTAAACTCACCCACACCCCCTCTCCCCCTTCTACCGTATTTTTTCCCTCATGGCCTAGACGACATCGCGTGCACCCACTCCCCCTTTGGCTGGCAAGCCTCGGTATCCCTCCTCGAGCCAACAAGCCCGTCGTTCGCCTATCCTACCCTTAGATCACTCAATGTGCCCTTGTTTCATGAAATTGCTCCCTTCTTCACCATGAATCACACGCTGCCAAACTCTCTCACCAGCAACACTCCCCCTCGTTGTCCTCCTTCCACATGCCATATTTGTAGATGGAAATTCTTTCTTATAGAAATGGACTCTACCATGCTCTGGATATTATCAAGAATGATAAAGTCCCACTTTGGTATTTGTTCGTATTTTTAATTAAAATCACAATGCTATTCACTAAAATTATCACTTCTAGGAAATATGTACCAAGAGAAGCTAATAGGCCTGCTAATTATTTTGCTAAAACTGCTACTAAGGATATGCAAGTAACATTAAAATGTAATTATTATCCTCATCTGAAATCTTTACTTAATGTGGATATATGAAATTTTCATTTATTAGAATTTGTTCTGGCTAGCTTTTTATCTGATCAATTAAATAATATATAAATAAAGTTCTCTTTTTTGGGATGGTTCATGGAATGGTGGATATATTGGTATGGTTTCTATTGGATTAGCAACTCCCCACATTTGGTGAGATGGAGGACCCCTTTTTCTATTTTTATAGATATTTTTATTGGTACTTGCATTGTAAGCGGTTCTTACATTGGTTATGCTGATAAGGAAGGGGTATCTTAATTTTTTAGCAACAGGAGTATATTGCTACGATTGTAGTTTTTTGTTGCATGATCTATTTTATTTTTACAGAAGCAAATTTCCGTGGTTGGAACTTATTTGTTAGGTTGCTTTTGGCATGTGATCGGGAGGGGGTGGCTTATAAGCTTTTTTATCAATAGTATCCTTTATTTTCACAGTAGTAGATTCCTACTCAAACTACTGCCACTACCTTTTTTACCTTACTCTATACAGTGAATTGAGTGGAAGGAGCTGCTGTGGAAGGTTTATTTTGAGGGAGTTTTGTTGAGATCAACAACTCCCAATTTGGTAAGAAGGTTGGGCCCCCCTTTTCTCCTTCTCCCTATAAGATATTCATGTTTTTTTTCTACATTACCTTTATAGAAGTAATTTGACTTTCAGATACATTAATGCTACTTACACTACCTACAATTGGGGGTTGCCATACCTTAATCTAGAAATAGCGCATCTGAGTTTTATTGTTAAATAATGATGGTGACGTACTAGTGTATTAGGAGATGTCTCAAATTACACCTATCCAAAAGCTTATTTTAAACTCTGCTGCTACTACTAGAGATTTGGTGTTTTAGCTGCATTATCGTTACACAAGCAAGATATCATTGGAGTAGACGTTTAGACTATTACTAATGAGTTTTAGAAATTAAAAAAAAAGAATATTTGCTTCACCCGATCTCTTATCTTGTTATTTTTTAGTAGAGGTAATATTGATGGTGCACATTGAAGGTTTAAAATTCATCACTTTTGCTATCAATGATTGCAGATATAATTTTATGGAATGGATGTGGGTATGACTACACTGGTTTGCCTGTTTGAATGGAGCAACTGCAAGCTTATATAGGCTTATAGGCTTATGATGGATGTTGAAATGGAAGTATGAAAGAATCTTATGATTATCTGTGGCAAGATTCAAGAATTAAAATACTGATGATATGAACTTATATATATGCTTCTGCTACTGCTGGTTGGTTTTCCTATTTTTTTCTATATCTGCTACTATTTATGTCAGGTTGTCTTTATACTATTGTCGTTATATTGTGTTGTTTTGTGTGGCTTCTGTCCTCCTATGCACTCACCCTGAGGGAGTTGTTCAAGGAGGAGGTTGGGAGTTTTCTGTTGTTTACCGTTGCTTGACATGATGTCCTCTCTTCTGCATGTAGGTTAAGGATGATTGTGGAAGATTCCTTGTGGATTTTGTTATATGCAGCAAATATGACTTAATTTTATAGTGCCCAGGTTTACAAATTTATTCTTCCAAGCTGATGCTTTTTGTTTTCCATATTATACTATTATATCCTTTTATTTTATTTTATTTATACTATTACTGCTATATTATTGCTAATGATTTTTTTGGTTTATATCCTCCTATGCATTTATATTGGGAGGGAGGTTCTTAAGAAGAAGAATGGGAGTACAACGCTTGTTATTAATGATTTCATGTTGCTGCTTCTTTTGAGCTTTTCAGTTAGTGTTTGTTATGGTGTGTTGTTTTCTGGTGCAGAGTTTGGAGTTATAGATGGTGTTGTTTTCTACTATATGGAATCAGTTATATGGAGCAAAATATTTTATTTTTGCAACGCCAATACTTAAAATCTTTGGTGGCTTCTTTTGGGATACGGACCACAGGTATGACTTTGTATCAGCTGTTAGATTGTTTATTGGATGCTCCTTTCTACATTGGAACTTGTTTACAATCTTTTTTGGGAAGATCTGCTACACAGATAAAGGACTTGAGTATACTTTTTGGAGTTCTTTTCTTTTGGGGTATACTTGTACTTTTTTTTTTTAGATCTTTTTGTGTTGAGTTGTAATTTGGTGACGGAACCCTATTGGTGCGTATTATTTTTCATTTCTGGGTTTTAGTGGTGGGATCCATCTACCAATTACCCCTGTAACTTTTTCTTTGATGAAATAAAATTGTCTCCAGGATTTTTTTTGAGATATATATATATATATATTGTATATATATATGAATATGTATGTATGTATTTATGTATAGATATATAAATATGTATGTATATAACTTTTCCTATAAATGAAAAAATGTATATAATTTTTTTTAAGTTAAAAAGTTTTATTTTTTATGTGATATGAATGATTTTTGGCTGTGCAAGTAAAAAAAAAAAAGGCATTTAATAACATGTCCAATTTTTTTTCGTGTAAAACATGAGCCTTGTATTATTCAAAAAAATTAATACATCTGAGAAAAGAGGGAGGAATATAACATAAGGCTTAGGTAAAGTGTGCCCATGTAAAAGAAGAGCAAGAGATTAAAAAGTAAACTGAGAAACAAAAACGGCCTGAGATGAACATCCCCATTTGATAAGCCAGTTCATTTGTTATAAAAAAGGTGATCATAAATCTACAACCGCACTGCTTAAATCAAAATATTTACTACAATGCCACGAAAAGAACTTTAAATTCTTAAGTCAACTTCAGGAAACAAGGTGCACAGTTTAATCCATATAACTACTGCATTTTGTGATCTGCACAAGAAAACTATTTCAACCAGTATCAAAGCAAAGTGGGGCCGTTTTGCATTTTTCTTATTTGCAACCACTGAGAACTGTTGATTTGATCGTGGCAAAACCACACAAACTTTTTCTGATTAGTTGAGCCTTCATAATCATCAATATCAAGGAGCAGGATTCCTTAACTTTGTCAAATTGGCCACGGCAGAGATTATTAGAATCATAAATTTGCATATGATTGGAGTCTATTAAACCAAATCGAATGCAGTATCATGTGAAATATATCATATTTCACAGGCCTCTGATGCCATAAGAAATGCTTCTGCAACTTCTTCACATTGGTTTGCAGATATACATATCTTCTAAGTGATATTCGAGTAAGGATATCCTTCAACTTGGGTATGTCCTTCTCTGCTATGACAATAGAAAATGCACTCCAGTCCAAAACTTCCTCGAAGGGAAGAACAAAATTATCTGCAATTATTACAGGAACACACTCGTAGTAGATGGCTTCCACGATCCTTGGGCTGTTGACTTCATATCCCATTGGACAGATGCAGTACTTGCTTGATTTCATATGCTGTGCATAAGACATCTTTACAGAGATCGAACTCGGAAGAGGGCCGTAGATTTTCATGTCGTCTTCCTTTCCGTTCCAGTAATCAAGCAGGATGGGTCTAATCCTGCCATGCATATTTCCTGCAAAAAAAGCCAGAATGGGCCTTTGAGATACTCTCCTTCCTCCAATATCTCTGATGGGCTTTTTCGGGATTCTTATGTTTGTTTCAGGGAGGGAGACATCCTTCCCGCGAATAAACACTCCCTCTGAAACATCTGCATTGCACAGAGCTTTAATGGTGTTCTTGCGAAATTCGTCATGCAATTTAGTTGTGTAAGGACCCTGGACGACAGTTTTAATCATTCGAACAGGAACTTCATAAACTAGAGAAGAATAATCATGAAGAACTAGTAGCCGGCAAAGAAAATGAATGCTTCCTTTTCGTTTTCAAACTAACAAAATCAGCGGATAGAAATTTAAAGAAAAAAAGTAGAGAAAGAAAGCATACCCAGTCATGACAAGCCACTATGAAATGATCGGATCCTCTTGTTCGATTCCAGAAAGAATATTTAGAGGAAATCATGTCCACATAGTTCTTCAGAAAGATTAGCAGAGGCTTCATGTCATGAGAGTTAGGCTTATAAAGGGCTTCTTCTAATTGTCGAGAACTGTATGGAAGATAAAATAAATGTGCATGACTTGGGTCTTTCACAACAAATCTCTTGTTTTCCTCCATTAACATAAGGAACCAACCTTCTGAAGCATAGATTCCCTTAAGCTGTGGTGTATGAAAAATGGGTCTTGGTCCATCATCGTATATGTAGACCTTCAGAATTTTTTCCATTAATTCATAACTCCTGGAAGCATCAGTTTGATATTCACTAACTGGTGAGAAAGAAATGCTTCACAATTCACAGAAAAATTATATCTTCCATTTTAATGGAGATGCTTCGTATGATTCGGTTCATATACAAGGTTTGCAACAGCACATAGAAAGATCAACTAAATGAAGCGTTGTGAAATATAACAGAATAATTAATGAAGCAATTGCATGAATATAATTCGTTGAAACTAAACGCCAATATTTCAATTTTATGTGATTTGTGTTAATTTCATCAAGGTCAAAAAGAAAATTGCTAATAAATTTATTAATAAATATGTACTTTTTTGTCATCATTATCACCACCCAGTTGATCAAACGTGGATCATGTTGCATATTAAAATCAGAAATCTTTCCAAGTCAAGTTCAAAATCACTCAATGTCCAATTTCATCAAATTTATGGTCTAATTTGATGTTATGATTCGAAGAAACTAACACCATCAAAAGAAAACTGATTCGAGTTACAAAGAGATTAGATTAATCACTTGAAGTATGTTTAAAATTTTTTTAGCATTAATTGAAGGAACAAATGATCACCAATTTCTGTATGTTTATGATTTAATTGAATGTCTTAATGGGATGAATCATGCTAGCCTAAGATTGTCAATTTTTGGCATTATTTACTAATTCAAAATTTTAAAATATACCTTATGGTCCTGCTGATCAATATGAGTCGTCTGATGACATCAATCAAACATTAATTAAAGGACCATGCTTATGATTTAACTAAGAGTTTTCACAAAGTGAACCAACTAACCAAAGATCCCTAAAAGTTAACATCATTTATTCACTTTACATTTCAAGTATACCTTGTAATCATGGGGATCAACATGAGTCGATTGATGAAGTGTTCCCAAATTGGAAGTAATATCTCAATTAAAATACATTTTAATTTTAATAAAATTTATATTCTTGGGGGGGTGGGGGGCTTAAGTTTTTTATGAATGAAGACACTTGAAGATCGATATTTCATCGATTATAATGAACTTGAACTTCAATAAGGCCATAGATTCCAAAGATGTTTTAGCTTAAAGCAATAAACAATGCTAGTGAATCAATATGGGATCACAATGCTCTACAACAAAATTACAAAAACAAATTAGATATTTTTAAGCCATTAAATTTCTCCTTAGCTTCTATTGGATGATCTCTTCCTCCTATAAATTTGTAACAAAAATAAAACATTTCTGAATAACAATTCATTTTAAAGGCATCAAAGTATATCTTCCAACAAATATATTCTTTTTGTCAAATCAATTGCAATCAATGACAATATAAAATCAAAAAATTCAATTTATCTAAATAGCAATATTAAAACTTCTTTAAAGGGAAGACAAGAATCATATCAAATGAATTTCAAATTATCTCAAACTCTATCCAAAGTGAGCTCTCGCTCACATCCTCTTGTACCGCTACGCCGAAGCATGAAAGTCACGCTTACCCACACACCTTATTTCTTCTTAGGCATACCTTTGAATGTCACTTTGCTCATGTGGTTGTGTGCTCGTGTATATTTTCAAGGTCTCATATGCCTACACATTCATGCTAGAAAAAACGCCATCAATGGTGGTGACGATAGCATGATCAATCATTTATTCAAAAGTGTCTATTTTTACCTTTTTTGACATTTTTCTCTCAGTCTTGGCAATTTTAAACTTCAATCTTTCATGTCTCAATCGACATATGAATTTCAGGAATATCCAAAATTAAGCTTGAGTTTAATGAATTACTATATATTTTTTGGGCATATGCATTGGTATCCAGAAAATATGGGGTAACTAATATGTCACTAAGAAGTTTATATAACCAAGAATGAAGCATAACATATTTTAGATTAGAGATCTTTCAAATTCAAATTCAAGATCATCTAAGCTCTAATTTCAATAAATTTATAGTTAAATTGGGCATCTCAATAATACAAGCCAAATAATTTTAAAAGTGGTCCAATGCAAGTCCAAATAAGCCGAAATCAAACCCTTGAATGATAATTGAAAGCTTTGGTCCATTAATTAAATGGAAAAATAATCTCTAAATTTTGGATGCTTAGAGTCAAATCGAGTAGCTAAATGAGAGAAACCCATTAAGCCTTATATCATTATTTCTGAGGTCATTAATGCACTTAAATATTGAAAATTTTATTTGTGATCAAAAGAATCAATATGTTTCTCTAATAGACTGTTTTAGGATGATAAAAATTTCAAAATACTAATTTCAAAAACTAACAATAGACCTCATTTTTCACATAAAAGGTGAAGGAGAAGAAAAGTGTGAGGTAACAACTAAGGTATGACTCTTGACGAGAAGTGCAGGTGAACAACCACAAACCAATTTCGATTACCACAAGAAATTTTTGCAACCAACTGCAGCTATTTTAGCCACCAACAACGAATTTTTTAGCCAACTACAACTATTGTAGCCACTAATTATGGTTCTTTTAGCTCAACTATAGTTGTTGTAGCCAAACTATTATTATATAGTTGTGACAGTGAGTTTTTGAATCCCATCTTTATCAATTCAGAGGAATGATGTACTTTTATATTTTCAATTTCCCAATGGATGACTTTATTAGGCCAAACTCCATTTTTTCCCTTTTTAGTGTATTTTTACATAAATTAATTGACTTTTGCATTTCTTTTTGTGTGTGTAGAAAAATTATACTTAATCTAAGGCTTGAATAGTTTCTACCATTAAGAAATTCTAGTATGCAATAAGTAGGAGGCCAAAAGTTTTGTTTGATTAGGCTCAAAAAGTGCATTTTAGATGGTTGAGTTAACATCTTTCAAAGAAATAAATGTCCTTGAAATTAAGGGTGTATTGTTTGGGCCTTTAACTTCTTATAAGAAGCTGGTTGATATATACTTCTATATTTCTCCCTTGATACACTTTAAATAATAATTTTTTTTTATTTTTTAACAAGTTTCCTTCGCATACTTTAGTTTAAAGAGCATAACATCATAACAATGGAATCCATCTCTAGTAATAAAAACAACATTCTTAGTATCAACTGAGTATGTCTTGATTTAGCAATAACTAAAATGCATTTATATAGCTCATTTTAGTGCAGCTGATTGTAGAGTTTACTAAGGTGTCAATTATTGATAGTAGGTGGCTATCATTGGGATGGCCTGAATTCAAATTAGAATAGTTGATAGACATTTTTTGCTTGCTATTTTACTTGTGAACCATTAAAATATTAAAAATTCATTATGGATATTGATCTTCACTTACGAATTCATCCTCTATCAACTTTTGAACTTTGTAGTGGTTAGGTTTATCAATTGTGGTGGAAATTAGCCTTATGATATGTTTGTTTGATCTTATTTTTCGGCATCATTGAGTCTACAATAAGAAACAATGATATCAATTTCTACCATCTCTATGGCTTAACAAATGAAGACATCCACTATTTTCCGAAAAGTTATGACCAATTTGGCTTTATACTCATTATACAAAGAATTGATTATTTGAAAAATGCAACCTTAATCATATTTGATGGGTAATTATTTGATCTCATCTAAGTCTACCAAATTCAACACGTCTTCTTACACTATCCCAACTACTTTTAAGTAACAAGTTTGACACTTTAGTTATTTGAGTTTAATAGTTACTTAAGCATCTCTTAATATTTTTTTAATTATATGATATTTATAGACGACTATGAAAAATATGATAAGTAGGGGCAGTCAAGTATGGCATTATAAGTTGCTGATGCACTAAACATAATGAACTTAGTCATTTTAACTGTTGGTCCCTATCTTTCTAAATAACTTGCAATTTTATGATTTTTTTTTTCATATTTTTTCCTTCTCTAAAAAACTCATATAGTGGATCTATATTCTTAAAATAGTTGAAAACCTCTAAGATTATCATTTGAGAATACTTTTTAAACAATATTGATTGAGTTTCTTATGTCAAAGCATATTTAATTGGTTGGATGTTTATAAACAATGCACAGATCATGACTACATTATTGTAAAAATTATCATTCATTATTCTATTAGCCACAAAAATATCAAGGGAATGAGTTTTAATGTTAGCAGTCATGAGATGGAGGACAGATTCACCTATCCCAAGCAAAATATCTTAAGGGTAGCTTGATAATAGACATCTTCTGACTCATTTAATATAGTGGATATTACTCCAAAGGGTGTATTATATGAGCTAAGACAAGTTCATTCCTAGACTCCTTTTTCTCCATACTCAGTTGTTAAGCTGAATTTGCAAGGACAATTTTTCTCCATACGCAGTCATGAGATGGAGGACAGATTCACCTATCCTAAGCAAAATATCTTAAGGGTAGCTTGATAATAGACATCCTCTGACTCATCTAATATAGTGGATATTACTCCAAAGGGTGAATTATATGAGCTAAGACAAGTTCATTCCTAGACTCCTTTTTCTCCATACTCAGTTGTTAAGCTGAATTTGCAAGGACAATTTTTTTTCCACTTTTCACGTGTTGATAGCCGTTTTTGTCGTGTCTACGATCATAGTCATAATGAAAAATACAATACTTTGTCATACACCTCTAAAAATGGTTTACCTTCATAGTTGTTAGACACTTCAAATAATTTATATTCTAAAAGACGTCAATAAATTATGCCATTTAAATTATCAATAAATTTGTGGTAACGAATTGGTGGGTAAGTGGCAATTGATGGTGAAGCTATAAAGGGCAACATGGCGGCTAGTATGGCCATAAGTATTTTGTATGCTCAAAGAACTAAAGTCATCTATGAGAATTATTTGCAATTTATCACAACTTCATACTTTTTCAAAGCTATGAAGTTGAGTTAAAATTGATTCTTCCATTTCATTATTCTATTCCTCTAAATTTTTAGAGCAATTGGCTAATTTGAACAACTTAACCATGTATCTTAGTTGTTATAGTTGAAGCGTGTAATGTAAAGAGACTTGCGAAATACCCTGATAAACAAATGTCTAATCCATAAAAAACTTTAAATCCTCCACTTTTAAGCATTCTTCAAATCATCATCACAAAACTCCTCAGCAGCACACTCGTCCTTTTCCTCCTCTTCCATAAAGCCTATGATTTTTTTCTAGTCATTTGGCATTAGAAGATTATGTGATAAGCATTTTCTGAAGTGAAGCAAAATGTGACCGCTAGAGTGGTAAGCAAATAAAAAAAAAAACCACCTAAGGGCTAACTCTATGATGGTTATAAATAACAAGTGAGACAATATGTTTGAAGTAATTTATTGAGTTGTTAGGATTGATTAAATCTTTGTACCTGTCACTGTAGGAAAATCAACTATAATCGATCACATGATCGATAGTTTTGAGTGCGTCAAAAATAATATGTTCTTATCCGATGGCTTAGCAACAAAATCTCAATGAGTTAATTTATGCAAGCATCTTCACTTTTTCTCAAAAATTATTTTTGACGACATATTTCTACGTTTTGATTTTATAAAATGTTAGTAAAACAAAAAGCTAATCTGTAAAAGTCAAAGATAATTAATGGAGTCATTTTGGCAGGTCATGAATGGAGTATCTGATGATAACCGACTATACACGTGGGTTAAGATGTTTAGAACCGAAGGCTAAAAAAGCTATTAATCTACGGCCTGGCGCTGGAGAAATTATCATTTCGATCTCTACCGTACCGCTACTACCCACTGAACTCTTGGATCATCGGCCGCACCGCATGTATGAAACCCTTACTTCTTCGTTTCTTCTCTCCCAAGCGCGCTCGAAACCCTCTTCGCCTCCCTCCTCCATTTCGCCCAAAACCCTCGCCTTCAATGAACATTGACCTAGTTGGGAAGACAACATCGGGATCGAGCCTTGCAATCGACTTTTGATCAAGTTGGGAAGACAACGAGGGGCTCGCGGCTTACAGAGACCACCGAAACTCTCGGCTTTCTCATCTTTATGCTCCGCTCTTATCAGGTATGCTTGTTCGCGCCATTAATCCTCTTTGCTTCTTTTAGAATTCCTTCAGTTCTCCTCTCCTGGTTTCACCCAAAAACGATTTACATTCCGATACAGCCGCCATTCGAGCTAGCTGGGAAGGTAAGGGCGGGATCGCGACAAACAGAGACCACCGAAACTCTCATCTTTCTCATCGTTCTGCTCTGCTCCTACTTGTAACCAGCTGAAACCAGTGAGGAAGGTAAGCTTGCTCTCACCATTTTTCCTCTTCAACTGACTTGTTTAGGTCTGAGATGTATAAAGATATAACAATTGTGTGGTATGTATAAATGTCTTCTACTTATTTGGTTTGAAAATCAAGTCCTTTTAAGTCTACTTCTACTTTTCTTAACATAAGCTGAATCTAAAATATTTACTCTCCTAGCTAGATCACCAACCCTTTCAAGATATATTTGTTTTGCATTTTGTCTCCAAGTGTAAAGGGTTTAGGGTTTAGGGTTGAGGGTAAGCCACTAGGAAAATCCAAAAATTAAATTAGAATGATATTAGTCTTGGATTTATAGATTTTGATGAATTGAATAAATCCAATTTCACTAATTTTGGAGGTAAGGTGCTGTCTGAGAACATATCAATTTAAATTACTAGGATTTACTCAATCCTCTAAATCTGGATTTATTAAATCCAGAATGGGTTAAATCTTAAAAGCTGTTGGACACTCACTGAAGTTCGGTTTGTAGGATTTACTAAATCAGGGCTTATAGGCCAAATTCGTGAAATCCACTTTTACAAAATCCAGGATTCTGTTTTTCTAAGAAAAAACCTCTATCAGGATTTAGCCTAACTCCAGGTTAAATCCTAGTCTAAATTCATTGCTAGATAGCCCCTAAATTTAAAGTTGGTGGATTTTTTGATGGTAAGTAAAAAAATATTTGGTGGGTAGGTTGGGTCTGTGAATTTAGAATGAACAACGACAATCATTCGAAAATTGATTTGAATTTTGGCTTATACATGAAGCTCGGATTGAAATAAATGCCAAGCTACGAATTAAATTTTAGATCCAATTTCTTTTGACCCGACCCCCGCTCTACTCGAAATCTGGCCGTTTAACATTTTACTCATGTTAGGTATGTCGAAAATTGTTAATCGGTCCATTGAAAAATAATAGAACATAATGAATTATGAATTAACGGATACTTCAAATTAATATTTTGTTAGTTTGGTGTTTGACTGAATTTAAGTTAAATTTATAGGTTAAAGTCAATTAAGACGCCTCCCTCTAATATTGTCTACTACTGTGGCTACACTAACACTCTCTTGGATATATTTGTTTTGTATTTTAGCTCCAAGTGCATATTCAATCATAAATCTTAAGAATTCTTGTTTCCACAACTTTTAACTAGATTATTTTCACACCTCTAAAAATATTCTGAGAAGGAAATACTTCATATGATGTAAGAGTGTTCACTCGCCATCTAATGACAAATCTAGTTTTCATTTTCAAAATAAAAATTCACTTCAAACACTATGTTTTATGTCAAATTGAATTTCCATTTTGACAATGGAAATTAGATTTTTCTATGAATGATGAATTGAACACTCTTACATTATGTGAAGTATTTCCTTCTCAAAATATGTTTAGAGGTGTGTAAGAAATCTAGTAAAAGTTATTGAGACTAGAATAATTTGGTGGATCAGTGGTTTTACACTTGGAGAGAAAATGTGAAAGAAATGTACTCATGAAAGGGTTGATGTAGCTATAGTAACATACAAGATTAGAGATAAAATTTGAATCCATGTTTGTCGATTATCAATCTTCAACCGCCCTAATAGCAATAGGCTGTCAACGTTCTAATTTCGAGCCGAATTGTGGTCGGCTTGAAAGAAGTTTGATCCAAAATGTTAGCTCGTAGCTTGGCTCATATGTTTCTATCTGATCTCTATCTGAGCCAAAATTTGAATCAATTAATTTTTGAGCCATTGTCATTGTTCAAGCTATGTAAAACGCTCATCCTTTTAATGATTGGATCAACCATTGTTACAACTCCTGCATTATATTTATACTAAAATTAAATTCAATTTTCTCAGTTGAATGCATTTTATAATGTGTTGCTTATTGTCAGATTTGCAGATACATATGGCTCTTCGTATATCAAGATCGTGGATGTACAAAAAACTTTATCCAGATAGAAAATAGATCAACGAGAAGTTCTTAAACTGTGTCAAGGCCATTGTGACAGCTGTCGACCTAGTTATCTGAGTATATGTATCAGTGTCCATGTTCGAAACAGAGAAACCAATCTCATTTAATGCCTGATGAAGTGAGATATGATCTATACCGTCGAGAATTTTAGCTTGATTGGAAAAATGGAGTAACAGATCAGGGTCATATAGACCTTACTTCAGGACTTATGTGCGTTGTGAAAATTTAGCCAATTTATAATATGAATTGGTACAGGTTTCATATGAGATCCCTGTCTGAGGAACAAAGATTATAAATCTGGCGTTTGTGTTAAAGCAAAAAAACAAATTAGACGACGAGATAGATTATTATGAGATTCCCGAAGAAGTTTTTGAACTATCTTATCCTAGCTCCATTGGATGAAGTGTATTCTTATACAACTATGCTTAGTTTGATCTTATTTCTAATCGTGGAACAAGGGTAAACTAACCGTATAATATCGTTAAATTGAAAGTGAACATAATATATGCTAAAGTTAACCATTTTATTCTAGTTCAACAGGCGAGTCAAATTTACTATCTTCGATATCCCCATAGAACAATAGATAAAGTTGATTGGGTGGTTCTCATATCAAGTAATATTCAAAATAATATTAAACTCACTTATCAAGAAATTGAAATGTCAGATTTATATTTTCCACTTAATCCTATCCTTGAAGGGCTCAATCTAGAGGATGCTAGTGGTGATAACAAAGAAATTACCCTCGGTGATGAGTGTCACTCTGGCGATGTATCTGAAGAAGAAATTATGACTACATCCTTCAGTCACTTTTTCAAACGATATTGAGTAAGATGGGTAAGTTATTTTGAATATTTTTAGCTTCATTCCCTTAAATCTGTAGATTGTTCTTTACACTTTTGTATTCTACTATTTAGTACTCATCTATTACATTTTATTTTGACAAGCTTGTAGTTTTCACTGTACGATTTAATCTTTCAGTTTACTATTTCTTTTTGTGTTTTTAGTTTTACTAGTTTGTAGTTTGCACTTTACAATTTCGTCTACCTGCCTTTTGTGTTCTATTTCATGTTTATTGTGTACTGTTGTGTTTTTAGTTTATTGCATAATAGTTTGTTATGTGCACTAAATAATTAAATTTCTTTTGTTTATTGTAGATGTTGACTAGAGGTGAGGACAATCTTCCTTCTCGCTTGGGGGGAGTACAACATCGGTCGAAGAAAGCCTTCAGGAGAGGCTGCCCGCTCTCAATCCTCACTCCCACCCTCACCCCAATCTCTCTGATCCATACCCCCACCCTGACCCCCACCCCTAGCGCACCCGCACTTTCACCTCCACCCCTACCTCCACCTCGACTGCAGTGCAGATGAGTACGGTGGAGGCCCACACTTCATCTAATGGGCGGGAGGACAGGTGGCAGTTATCGCATTAATCCTAGCGGAAACACATTTATTTTAATATATTGACGGTAATCCTTTTATTTTTTAATTGAATATAAAACCAATCAGTTGTTATTTTCATATTCTATCCCTCAACACAAGTTATTCACGCTCATAGGGACATCATCCAGAGCAAGTACGACTTAGCGTAATTGTCCTAGAAGGAGATTCCGATGGCAATTCAAGATCTTTGATTCTAGGAGTTTGTGGTAGATATCTATCACAATAATTTTAATTTGTTTTTATATATTTATCAATTTAACAAAATTATGTAATTTTGCATAAACAATTCTCTTGGCACCCTTAGCATGAAGCACACACACAACGCAACTTCGAGCGCAAGGGCAACGATCGTCTAAAGGACATGTTTAGTGATATTTGGAGATGATTCTTTTGCCTCGCTACTCAGTGCTTGAGATTCTCCGGAGTACCGAAGGAAGAGGGAGCAGGCAAAGCAAAACTGACGCTCGAAGTGCGAAGATATGGGAGCCTCCATGCACATTGGTGGGGCACTCCCACACATAGAATATAAGTGGAGGATGGTAAGAATTTATTTTTGCTTTAAATTTTACTATAAATCAAACATATATCCTAATTATTTCGTTACATTGACAGACTATGTAGTTGGGACGAAAGCCTTCTGTTGTCGATGTACACTGGTACACCCATATGAGGCAGTCGAAACAGTCGTGGATCAATGACGGATTCCGTGCGATTCAAATAATTCAGGAGCAAAACTAGTTTGATGTTTGCTCGCGCTAGGTTTAATTGTACATAACTATTTATTTTTGCATGAGATAGTCCAACAGCTGAATGAGAGTCTATCCCAGGCTTCGAGCGATATTACGATCTGAGATCATGATTTGTCTGAGTACAACGTATGGAGGGAGGTAGCGTGAGGGAAAAATAAGGGTTGAGTCTACGGGCTCAGGCTCAGGCATTTGCCTGCAATACTCGCCCCTTCGCTAGTGCATCTGTGGCTTTTACTTCTACCATACAAGAGGAGGATGTCTCCAGGTGTAGTGCCACATTCGCTGCCGAGATGGAGGCCTACTTCGATCATATGAGGTCGTAGCTAGAGGCCAATATGGAGGCCAAGTTAGATGTGTTCCGACAGCAGGCAAAGCAACACAGGAAGCTACCATTAGAGAAGGAGGAGGATGATGATGATGACAAGATAGAGGGGAATTAGAGGGGATTTTTTTTATCTTATTTGAATATGATTTTGTTGAACATTGGAGTAGATTTTTTCTTATTGAACGGTGGTATATATATGTTAAATTAAATGTATTTTGTTTATTTCGTTGTTTGATTGGATAATTTACTTTTCGAATGCAATTTTAGTCTGTAAAATACTTGGATTGGTTAAGCTATGTTGTGTTGTAGGTGTGGAAATCGTAATTGCTAAAGAAGAATTTTTTTTCACTACAGGCTTTCGACGGTTTATCGTTGGTTTTGCGACAATTATTACATTAATCATCCTCATAACTAACGACATAAGCCGTTAGTTATATTAGCATTAGAATATCAATAAATATTCGACCAATATTACTTCGATAAAAATTGACAATTAACCGTTGGCTCATTCGTCAGTTAAAATATCGACGCACCCTTGACATCTAATCGAAGGATCACCTTTGTCATAAAAATGATGACTACGAAATTTTTCCAATGGTTAACCAGTCATTACTTTCTAACGGTTAATCGATCGCTAATTTCTGAAGGTTAGTTCGTCAGTTATCAGAAACCGACAACAACTGATGGTTCTCTTGTTTTTTGAGCTATTCAAAAGCGATGATCAATGTATGTAAGAAAAATGTTGGTAACACAAAGCCGTCGGAAGCCTTGTCGGTTTAAAAGTTACCGACAAAGGTTTTAACTATGACCTTAATACGGTCAATAACCCATCATAAATTTAATAAGCGATGATTAATTTATTAATAACCGATCTGAGACAGTCAGAAATCGACAGCATTTTTGTAGTGTGTCCAAATATGGCATCTTGAATTTGGTTGATGACTTAGCCTCGATGATATCCCTTGAGAAGACATATGATAGTTTTGGCCTTTACTTTCTCAAGTGAGCAAAATGAGGGTAATATGTCCTTATCTTTGAAATCTAAATAAAAAGTTTGATTATCAATTGAGTTCAATGCTTTTGTTGTATAGCTTTTTATTTTAATTGCCAAATTATTATAGTTGTTGAGTAAGTGCACCTTGGGAGTATTTCATGGGACATACTCTAAGACCCCTTTAGTCATAATACTAACTTTCCCTTCAATCTCAATTAGCTTTCATGCGATTATACCCTTTGCATTCATCATATTGATTAAAGTTTCCCTAAATAGTTCTTCTCTAGGTAATTTTTTGGGGCTTCTATAGATTTTTATGCGTTTCCCTTTATGCATCTCTTCAGATTCATAATATATATTCCCACTCATTGCACGATCGACTATGTTGAATTTTATTTTGTATGTCCATGGATTATATCAAAATAATACTTAACATAGAAAAAAATATAAGAGAGTAAAGATTGAAAGTTTGAGAAGAGAGCAGATGAAAAAAGATGAAAATCCATTATAAAGCTCCAAAGTATATTATCAAAATTTATTTTCTATGTCCATGGATTACATCAAAACCATATTTAGCTTAGAATGTAATATAAAAGAATAAAGATTGAAATTTGAGAAGAGAGTAGATGAAAAAGGAGGGAATATCCACAATAAAGCTCCAAATTACAGTGATTTTAAGTTAGACTGTAAAACTTGTGTAACTCTAGTACTCCCGTAAGCCTCATATTGTTAAGTATTAGAGTTATAGTGCTACAAAAAAGCTACGAAATGTACTAAATATTTAAAAAAAAATTATAGAGTCGCCTATCTATTAACTACTATAAATTATCAGAGAAGTGTATCCAAAGAGTTTGGATTATAGCTATGCATGAAATTTATGAGAAAGTCATCGGTTTCTAAGTCACTGCATAAATTTTGGGCATTGATGACTATGATAAAGTTTGATTGGTCTAGCAAATTAATTATTAATATGGTGTGTGTCAAGATTTTCTTGCACTTAACTGACATATTCACCTTAATCCTCTCAAGTAAGATTACTTTAGATTCGGCTTACAGGTTCTCATTGAATCTGGCTAGTGAATTCGCCCTTGTATTTAGAGTCTACATAATGTGTTTTATCTCTATTGCATGGGATGGCTCCTATTATTCTTGAAACTCCCTAATGCATGGCTATCTCACATTGATTTTGAATTCTTATATATCCCTTATGCTTAACTAATAAAATTTATAATTTGCAAATGTTTGTGAAATATTTTTCAAAATGCTTGGCCAAACCATATTCTTACAAAGAAAGATATGAACTATTTATAATAATGGGGATAATTTATAAAATTAAATGCATATTGCAATATGTTATAGATGTTAGATTATAAATTAATAATCACTTTTCATTTTCACAATTAATTACATGGAATATTAACATATGCCCAAATTAGAATTAGTATTTTAACAAATCATAATAAAAAAGCGAATTTCAAAGCAATAATGCACTATGATAACTCAAAGAAAAGCAATTTTACTAAATAAAACATAAATATTTTCAAGCAAATGTCTGAAATCATAACTCTAATGCTTTTATAATCCTTCGACTTTCATTATAATCCATTCTAAAGAATTCAATTATACTATATAGTACTAATATTTTTTCCAATCATAGGAAAAGGCATAATTTGTGAACTATTATACACTAATACATTCATTTTAATTTGACAACCCTTTCAACCTTTTTCCTTTCCTGATTTTCTATATATACGCTCTAGTGGCTTTTGTAAAATTCTGTGTCTTTTTTTACTCATTTGGTAACTAATTTGACCGTTAAGCTTTAATAAAAACACATTTCTTGCTATTTTGGAATGCTGTTCATATAATCTTTAAAAGCCACTTTTATTAAAGCAGCATTTTATCAGACTTTTGTAAAGGGAGAAGCCTAATCAAACAAATTCTCAATCTCTCATTCTTATGCAACGAATATTCTTGCACGGAGCAATAATAATTATTAATGTTATCTCAACTATATAAAATAAAATGCATGGATTCTCATCATGTTATATTTATCTCCTCCAATTTTTCTTAAAATATAAGAAAATGAGGCTTAAGCATTACCCTTACTAATGAGGCTTATGCATTTTTTGGACGAGGCAAACACCTCGAGAAGTTTGAGGTGGGGCCCGATTGAATTTTTTTTTTATATAAATATCGTGTTCTTGCCAGATAGTTAATATATTTATCTATTATTATTCCCTTATTTATCTTATATACCCACACTTGACACAACAAAATCAACCCGTCAAGTGAGATTAATGTGTTTGTTATGCAAACTTGTCTTTATTGAGTGCCGATCTTGGCCCCGATCATTCTATTGAAAACTTCTGTTGTCAACCAATCGAAACATCTTTTCAGAGCATTATCTTCTATTCTAAAAGTAATTCAAGTACAATGAATCGTTTAGTTGTGCTACTAAATCATTTTTTATTGTTCACCATATATGAATTAAGATTAAAGATGTATAATTGAAGAAGAGTGTGAAAATGGAGATAAAGATATAATATAACAATGATGGAGTACAATGAATCGTTTAGTTGTGCTACTAAATCATTTTTTATTGTTCAAAGTAAGATTAAAGATGTATAATTGAAGAAGAGTGTGAACATGGAGATAAAGATAGAATATAACAATGGAGTTATCACTTTAGTTGATTAGTTATAATATAAAGATATTGAAAATGATGACGAGACTATTATTGACTATGTTTCTAGTGGCACATTTGAAACTTAATTTAGTATTTATTTTAAATCCCAATTCAAAAAATTTATTTTATATTAGTATAAAGATTAAAACTAGTAATTTAAGCCATCAATTTTTAAATTATGTAAAATTTTATAAGTCTTCATTTTTCTATTTTAAAGCAAACAACTTGCCTATCTATCTACCTATCCATGACATTTCCAACCATTAATGATATTCGCACTTCATTTATGAAATCTAATTCTAGGCTTCTAACCTCTTGAAAACGGAGACGTTATGGAACAGGGGAGCATACAGTTCAGGATCATTGAAAGCAATGGGGGCTCGCTCAATCTCCTTCTTCGCATATATTAGTTCTTCATCGACTTTGGTCAGCACAACAGACGCCTGCAATCCATCAACAAATTTTGCAACTTAATTTTTATTTTTTCAACTTACCCCTTATTTCAAAAGCGAAGAAGCTGATAACCGGAAAAACTATTTATGTACGTAACACACACACACACAGAACTTTGAGCGTATAGAAGTTATTCGGGAGGTATGTGAGATTTATGTCAGTGTTATTGAGAAATTAACCTCAATAATTTGAAATAACTTTTGAATAACTTTAAAAAATAGAATCGTAGAACAGCAAAATGTATTGGTAGGTTATTAGGGGTTATTGAGAGGTTATATATTTCAATAACCTCTCAATAACCTCTAATAATTAAGTTATTGGAAGATTATTATGTGAAAAACGCAGGTGCGTATTCCCTGTGTAAATAGCGCACGATAAAACCTGTGGCTTCAAATTCAGCAGATCGTTGGAACCATCACATTGATATCCGGTTTCAGCGCCGTCAGAATTCCCGGCCGCCGCCTTCGGCACTGGGGATGGTGATGGTGCCGGAGAAGCCATGATAGCCGGATATACGAAGGACTCTGGTTTTGGTTCGTGGGCCAGAGAAGAGGATGAAGGATGGGAAAGTTGCCATGACGTCGAATGATTGGATGCCGGAAGCGGAGAGTTGAAAGAGGGCGCCACGAACCAATTGGAGAAAGAAGAAGAGAACGACGATGCCAATAGAAAGGCAGCCGTAGGCACCACAAAGATGGCGGCGAGAAGCCGCCGAGCCCATCTTCTCATAACTACCTGCAGCAACGGCTTCACTGAAGAGAGCGAATCATTCGAACTTCCTGGAGCTTGATGGAATATGGCCGGCGCGATTGAAGAAATTGAAGGAGTACCAAATGTTAATGGAAGGACGTTTGTCTTCCCAGTTAGTTCAGAAAACAAATGTTTTATCAGTTATGCGGCCGGATTCGGCGATGTCTCACCATTTGGAAATCGCGCAGAGGGCAGCGTACTTAAATTGAACTGTATTTCCTAATTTGTGTATTTAACTTGCACGAAACTTAGTAGTGCATGCACGTTTTTGCGATTATATATATATATATATATATTATATATATGTGTATAATTTTGATTACTGTTTTCTTGAAATGACCATTGTTCTAGTTAGATATAAAATTATTAAAATTTTAAAATTTTAAAACATTTTCATTAAATTGTAGTTGTTTTTCAAGCAGAATGAGTGCTCAAATATATTTTATTTAGATTTGTTATTGCATTTCTAATCAATGTGATGTGTAGTAGAGCAGTAAAATTTCTTATAATTAAATGTAATGTAAATAGATTGTTGTAAGAGTTATAGTTCTAGCAATTTTTGAAAGGAACAACGATTTCTAAAATCTTGTCTATTTTTTAACAATTCAGCAATTAATTTCCAAATGATTTTAGTCATGCAAAATACGTTGTCAAGCACTTTGTGCAAGATTCGTGAAAAAATAGATTTTTTTTAACATTTTTGGAATATTATTCTTTAATCCTGATTTGTCTGTGAATCATGCCCAATAAATAGTGTAAAAGAGGAGAGAGAGACGAAGAGACAAGAAAATACACAGTAAAGAGTAGTATTTTTAAAAGAGGTGTGTCACTTCATTCATAAAATGATCTCCTATTTATAGAGAAATGAGATGTATTATATGAAGTCACATTTATGCTTCTTCTTTAGTGAGGGTTGTACAAGCTATTATATGTATTTTACATATGTGAGCCCAAAGCTTGGTTGCTCTAAGGCTCGATTGGCGATCCTTTAGTAGGTGTTGTTGCTTGGTTAAACTGGAGAGACCCGTCGATAGGCTTGGTTTGGTAGGACTCTCAGTCAACCAGGCTTGATGTTGTGGGTTCGTTGGACTCTTACTAACAAAAGGTCGGCAAGATTGACTCTATCAGCTTTGTGGTGTCGGTCGGTTGATCAATTCTAGTTGTCGCCCCTCGATTACTAATAATGGGCCCCATTCATTAAAAAATCATTGTAAATTACCGTAATTAAATAAGTAGCTACCCCTAGAAAATGAGGTCCTGAGAGATGAATGAGAGCCATCTTACTATCTCTTGATGATGTGTGAGGATGTTGTTTCAACGCCTCCGAGGGAATTGTAGAAATCGAGGAATAACATTGCCCTTAGGTTAGTTTCATCATGGGGACTAACTTGGGTTCACCTGCACTCTGCTTTCAGTCGAATTGCGTATGCTAGAGCCACTCTATTGCCTTGGTTAATTTTGATCTTAATGCTTTTGATTTGACCATTTCGCCCATCGATGAACCCTCATTTGACATGCCTTGTCTTGTTTGTGCTGTCAAATTACTTCAAGATTTATGCTAATATATTTTTCTTATAAATATTTAGTTTTCCAATTATTTTGCATCGTAGAAGTCGTGTTACAATAAAAATGAGAGAATTTAATACAAAAAGTAGATCTTATTTATAACAGTTTAATGATTTACTAATTGAACTCTCTAAATTTCCATGCTCTGTGCTTCTATAAAGAGGGCATGAATATCTCTCTTCTCTTCCCCTTCTCTCCTTGCTTTGGTATGTTTGAACTCTCAGTTTTACCATGGTGGATAGAGCGATGATAAAATCGAAGGCTTATGATATGTCTATTGGCATCAAAGTTTGATTCCACACATGTCCAATGTCTATTTACATGTAATTTGATAATATTTAATTCATAGATAACTTCCTATAACTCAACACATCTATAACAACTCTTTAGTAGACATTTTGAGCAAGAAATCAGGGGTTGAGTTGATGTAGCCATGCCTAGAAGTGTTTACCTGTTGGCATTAATTCTTGATGTGATGGAGGTGGGTGGCCTTTTTGATGAGATAAAGTATTAAAATTTTGTTGATGACCTTAACTTGAAAACCTTCCTTTCCTTGCCTCTTTTCCTTTTCTCATGATTAGAAGAGAAATTATAGGAGAGGGGCTCTCAATTTTTGAAGTTCCTAAGAAGAAGGGGAGGTTTCGATTTTTGTGGATTTGAGAGAGGGAATAGGGAGGAATAAAAATGAGATAGTGGGGGAGGCATGCGAGCGTCTTAAAGGTTTGGTTGGATGAGTTATTGGGGGAAATTATTTTTCTTGGGGGGTAGAGTTTGGAGTGGAAGATGGAGAATAGAGAGGGAGTTGGAGAATTTGAATTGTGTGGCTTGGATTTAATTATATGGAGGAGAGAGAGGAGATCCATGAGTTGCTAAAGTGGATGATCAAGAGAAGAGTGCATGGATTGAGGAGCTGGCATGCCAAAAGAGGGTGGATGGAGGAAGAACAGTGGATTGAAATTTAGTGACAAAAAGCAGAAATATCATCTTTTCTTGATCCACGGGTGTAATAGGTATTTGGTGGTACCCAGAATATCCATCTAAAAAGCAGAAATAACAGTGTCCAACTAGTCTATCCAACATTTGGTCCAGGAAAGGTAAAGGAAAGTGATATCTTTTAGTGATGATGTTTAATTTTATATAATCAATAAAAATTTGTCATCCAGTAACTTATCTTGTTGGAATTAATTCATTCCTTTTATTAACTGCTACTATTATCTCTCTTTTCTTAGGAACACAATAAATAACTAACTCATGAACTATCTGAAATTGATAAATAATTCCTGCATCTAACCACTTTAAATTTTTTTCTTTACCGCTTCCTTCATAATTTGATTTTATCTTCTTTGAGGATCTGCCATAAGTTTATGACTATCTTATATTAAAATTATGTGCATACAAATTGAAGGATTGATACCTTTAATATCAGTTAATGTCAATTCAAAGACTTTTTTATATCTTTTCAATCTCTCCAATATTTTTTCTTCTTGTTTTGCAGTTAAATATGAGGATATAATAACTGGTAAAGTTGATGATTTCCTAAAAAACACATATTTTAAATGAGTAGAGAGAACTTTCATCTCAAGTTCAGGAGGTTTTCCAATAGAAATAATTAGACATTTGCTTTTCTCATTAGTATCTAAAATTTCAAAGTTTTCCTGAACATAATTTGAATCTTCAGTGTTTATAACATCTGATTTATCCTCTAAATCACTCTCAATTTTGTTCTTCAGTTCTTCCTGATCTGATATAACTCCATCTTTTTAATTTGATATAACTTCACATCTTTTTTGAAAATGATTAAGAATCATATACGCAATAATGTCCATCCTATAGCATCTCCCATTCTTTCCTTTATCAGGATACTTCATTGATTTAAGCACATTAAATGGAACTTCTTGGTCATTAACTCTCATGGTTAGTTCACTTTTTTGCACATCTATCATTGCACGTCTGGTTATTAGGAAAGGTTTCCTCAAAAAAATAGGAATTTATTCATCTTCTTCCATGTCCAGCACAATGAAATCAACTAGGAAGTTAAATTTATCCATCTTAACAAGTACATCTTCTATAACCCTTTTAGGATAAGTAATAGATTGATCAGCTAACTAAAGGATTACATCTGTGGGAGAAATCTCTCCTAAGTCTAACCTTATAAAGATAGATAATGACATGAGATTAATGCTCACTCCTAAACCGCATAAGGCTTTTTCATAAAAATTTCCTCCAATTATCATTGGTATGGTGAAATTGTCAGGGTCTTTAAGCTTTTTGAAGAAGTTTTTTCTAAATTATTGCACTACATTCTTCATTAAGTGTAATAGTCTCATAATAATAGCCTCATAATCTTCAAACTTCATTTTTTGTTTAAAATTCCTTTTATAAATTTGACATAACTTGACATTTGTTCTAAAGCTTCTGCAAAAGGAATGTTAATTGTAAGCTTCTTAAATATCTCAAAAAATCCTTAAAATTGTTTATCCAACTTTTGTTGTCCAAGTCTTTGAGAAAAAGAAGGTGGTGATTTTTCTAAATTAATTTTAGCTGCAGAAACGGGTGTTTCTACTTCCTTAGAAATAATTTCCTCAGGTTTTTCAGTCTCTTCAATTTCTCTCTCAACTTTAATTTCTTTTCGAACTCCAACATTTAATTCCTTTCCATTCCTTAGTTGGACAACTTTAACTTGTTCTTGTTTCTTACTTTTGTCTATCAGATTTATCTCAACATTATTTGATTTTGCAATATTAAATGTAACCTCTTGATCACCAAATCTCATAGTTAGTTCTTCCTTCTGCACATCTATCAAAGCTCTTCCAGTGGTTAGGAATTTAGGGTTAGGAATGGTCTTCCTAAAATAATAGGAATTTATTCATCTTTGGCCATATCTAACACAATAAAGTCCACATGAAAGATAAATTTATCAACATTTACTAAAACATCTTCTATAACTCCTTTTGGATATGTAATCGATTGATCAGATAACTGAAGAGTTACAGTTGTAGGCCAAATATCTCCTAAACCCAACCTTCTGAAAAATTAATAAAGACATAATATTAATACTGACTCCTAAATCACATAAAGCTTTTCTATAAAATCGTTCACCAATAGCATAAGGAATTGTGAAACTTCCAGGATCTTTAAGTTTTTTTGGAAGCTTCTTCTGAATTATAGCGCTACACTCTTCATTGAGTGCAACCATCTCATTATCTACAAACCTCCTTTTCCTATTAAGTATATCCTTCTTGAACTTCAAATAGCTTAGCATTTGTTCCCAAGCTTCAACAAATGGAATATTTATGGTTAATTTCCTCAAAATTTCTAAAAATTTCAAAATTTGATTTTCTTTATACTTCTACTTCAATCTTTGAGGAAATGGATGTGGTAGTCTTTCTATAGTGATTTTCATTGGTTCACTAGGAAATTCTGACTCATGATGAAAATCTTCACCAGAATCTTCATTTTTCACCCCATCTTTTTCAATTTCAACTTCTCGTTGAACTCTTTCTTTTAATTCTTTTCCACTTCTCAATTGAATAGCTTTAATTTGCTCCTTGTTCTTATATTTAGGATTTACTTCAACATTACTAGGCAATGTTCCTGAAGGTCTATTGCTAAGTGCAGTAGCAATACATCCCAATTGATTTTTCATGTTTCTGATTGCAGCTCCCTGACTCTGT